ACACACACACACTTTCCACGCTCCACTGTCTGTCCACTAAATCCAAACCTTGTAAATTCAATCAACCTGTGTTGAGCTTAGCAGTGCAACGAATAATGCTTGTGTACACAGATTGAGTAGAGGCGGTCTCTGGCAACTGGGAATCCAAATAATGTTGGGCTCAATAGCATTGTCTCAACTGTGTATTCATCACCTGTCAAGTTGTTGAAATACATGAGTGTAATGTCTTCAGAAACACGCAAGACCCCATAGGACCAAAACCAGCCTAGAAGTCGACTCATCTCGTCAGCAGGAAACCCCTTGACATTTTCGTGAATGAAGATGCCCGGCAATGAAATCAACACGGCTTTCATCCTCGGCAAAACTTAACCTGCTTGAAACACTGTACAAAGTCACAGGAGTCTTTCAAACAACATACTGTATGCCTATGTTCATGCCAAAGATCAGCATCATGAATGCTGGTGCAGTTGCTCCAGACTGACCGCAATGTTTTCCAAAGTTTGAGTAATCTGGACAGGGTGATCCAGCACATAGTATGTTGAGAATGCCGTTGGTGTTTCTTTTTTGGTCGGCAACCTCCTGCAGTTCTTATCGCGTCGGTAGCAATAGTCATAACTGCTAATCTTCACATCCCTGGGAAGAAGCACCTCCTCCAGCTCACGCCAGGACATCCTGGCACGCGTTCATCAAGCTTTAAAGGTGCACATCACTAATTCTGAAGCAAACTGCAACAATTGAGCAAAAAGGGTTTGTGGCCTACGTTGTGTCCTATGTGGTTTGTGTCCTACGTTGCTTGTGTCCTAGGTGTTTTTGTGTATTAGGTGCGCTCTAGGTGGTCGCCTTTTAGTTTAATAGAGGGTAGGACACAACGTAGGACACAGAACGTAGGCCACACCTAGGACACAACGTAGGACACAGGGAGGGTAGGACACAACGTAGGACACGCAGGTGTTTATGGATGTGTTGCAAAAAAAATGTAGTAGACTTATTGAAAAAAAGCATTTCACCTAAACCACAATCCTGCGAGTGAACACGAACTTGATTGATCGCTTCGAACTAGAATTCCATAGGCTCTCCAGCTTCTTGACTGCAATCTCAAAAGTCTTACCACAATTGTCTCCCAGTAGACCTCCTTGACCATGGACCATTGTCAGCTCCAAGCATTGCCCAATCTCTCGCAGCATCCCCTAGCTTGCATTTCAGCCTGCCCTGATTGGTAAACATATACCCTGCGCACCTTTCTTGGCACTGAAGGCTTTCATGGCTTCTGTCACGTGTTCGCTAGAAACCACTATAATGCACTTGATTTCTGTTTTCAACTGTTCTTGAGGCTTTGAGTCAGCCAACCCCAAGATGTCTCCAAAGATGCAAGTGTCGGAATCACTATTCTTAGTCAAAATCTCTCGACAACAATTGTTGAAGTCTGCTGAAGACGGATGTACTTTCCAGTCTGGTCTGGCCTGCTTGCGCACTGCCTGCAGTGCCAGTTCAGCTGTTCCATAACCGCTGAATTCTGACCACATTCGAATCACCTCAACACAGACAGAGAGCAAAGCAAACTGAACTCGGAAAAGTTGTATTACTTGGTTGTCTTTGAATGCGTAATGTGGTTTGTCGTTTTTGTCATTTGTTTATCTGAACTGTACAATACCAAACAAGAAATAACAACAGCTGCGTCTGGAGCACTTCCCAAGTTGATGAGATGTTAGCGAGCGAGGGTGATGAAGTAATCATATGCTCAACACATTGGAAACACTGGACCACTTTGCTCGAGACTTCCAAGTCTTCTTCACAATCCACGGCAAGTTGTCGTTTGGTACCTCTGCTAGGACAAGGACTTGTCATCCTGGAAGCATCATCACGGGATTGTCTGGTGATGGCGGATGTTTGTACGAGTGATACTCGTACCTCGTTATCATCAGCAACAGCCTGCATGACCCTGGCAACGCCGACCCTGGCTGGATACCCCCGCTGAACAGCCAAGAAAGCAAATGAATTGAACAACACAATAGGAGCTTGAACGCAATGGCAAAATGATCCAATACAAAAACACAACAGCAGCTCCAAACATGACATTGTAGAGTTAGACTCTTCTTTTATCAATCCCTTCAATTTAGACTTCAGAAATGATGAGTTCACCATATGCCGCACTCGTTAACATTGCTATAAACACCTGTACTCTAGCGTCCATGCATGCAGTATTTGTAGGTGCGCTTTATTCACAAAGAGCCAGTAGAGTATTTCTTGTTCGAAATGCAAAGAGGCAGGTGCCTGATGTAGCTTTGATGTGCAGGTATGCTTACTATACATGGTCATGGAAGCGCTACAGCAAGATATGTATGTTGGAAGAATGCCACCCTAATCAACTGTTTTGCAGTTTGCTGTTTCGCAGAACAGTTCAACCAGTTGTTCTGGTTGCTCTTGCAAGAAATGCCTTCTTCAGCCATCTTGCTGAACTCACAATCATGAATCACATAAGAGATCCTTTTTGAACTGGTCATAATAGACCAGAAGAATCAAGTCTGACACCGTCCGCCTTCGTGTCCACGTTGAATATTGACCCCAGCCTTGTAAAACTTGATTTGATGCACTGTTAGGTCGTTGTTGACCCCAATAACCGAGGGCTGAGCATTTTCCAATTTATCCAAAGCCTTGCATAGACATGAAACAAACCTGAATTGCTGGTGAAAATCAGCCCTGCCTCATGAACTTGTCGAGCAGGAGTCATTGTTGCCGTTCGAACATTAGTCAGAACCAATGCAAGCCTTTGTAGAATTTCTGATACAGCAGTAACTCGAGAACTGGTATCAGTGCGGTGATAAGTTTCACCGACTTCTTTACATTTGCCTAGGCAACTTCTCCTTAGATAGAAATACCCAAGATCAGAACTTTGAACAAACAAACAGCAGGTAACATCTCATAACGCGTTGAGCCATATATATATATGTGCTCCACAACATAATTGAGCAAATTCAAAGATACGGTTTTTGTTCAAGAGGTTCAGCAAAGAAATCTGATGCTCATCGTTTTCGGCCGGTAAAGCCTGATTGGGATTGGGTTGTGGCAAAAGAGCTTGCTCATGATCAGAATCGGATTCCACCCCTGGGTTTGGATTGTCAGGTTCTGCTTCAGCTGCGACAGTGTTTTCGCCCAAAACGGGCATCTCTGCAGAGATACTAGCATAAACTGAAAGCGCATTTTGTTCATGAGTTTGCCTCAGCATCACAACTTAAGAGTCAACTTAAGCTGTTGCAAGAACACACCTCAACAATTCAACTGAAAAGAAACATGCAAACAATTGAGCAGGCTACTGTTGCGGTGACAAAACATCTCCAGATGTGTCAAAGTTGTTTGAAAGGTCTCGGCTTTGTTGTAGCTCTTCCTTGTGTTCATCGTCTACTTTCCTCTTTCTGGTATTCCTGGGAGCTCTAAATGGTTGTAGCAAGTCAATCCCACCTTCACCACCACCAATTCGAGGATCCTTCTCCTGTGCACCTGCATCGGTCAAACAAAAC